AAAAAAAATAGGAAAATAAAAATATAAGCTAATGTTGTGTATCATTTTACTCAAAAGTGAATTTTCTTGCCATGTATTGAATTACATTTTGATAAAGATTTTATATATGTGTACACACACACATCCATACATATGCATACTCACCATACACTAATTCAGTAACTCTTATATATTATATACATACAATGTTAATTTTATACATATGTATTGGTAGGAGTCCATCTGTAAACTTGTGGTTTTTTGAAAAATCCTAATTAATTCATCAGTATAGTTCATTTAGGGTCATTAAAAAAAATAAAAAATCCATGGCCATTAAGTCTATTCCAACTCATTACAATACTACACAACAGAACAGAATTGCCCTATATGGTTTCCCAGGCTGTAATCTTTACAGAAGGAGACAGAAACAGCTCTCATGGAGCTGCTGGTAGGTTTGACCTACTGACCTTTCAGTAAGCAGCTGAGCATTTAACCACTGCGCCATCAAGGCTACCCTCATTCAGAGAACTAATCTTAAAACACAAAATTAAGTTGATCAAATGATTAAAGATTATTTGCCATCATAAGGAAAATTTCATTAAAAGACTTGAAGAAAATAAAAAGTCATAATTCATTCATTTCCATCTATAATTGGATTTGTTGTCAAGGTAACTCTGACTTCCTTCCTGACAGGCAAACTATCATGTTCTAAAAATGTCAGAACTCAAATTAACCTTAGTATGTGGATCAAAAAACCCAAACAAAACTCACTGCTGTCGAGTTGGATCTGACTCACAGCGACTCCTCTTTGGGCTTCCAAGGCAGTATCACTATGGAAGTAGATTACCCAACTTTCCTTCCGAGGAGTGGCTGGCTGATTTGAACTACCAGCCTTCTGGTTAGCAGTCAAATGCCTTAGGCACTATGCCACCAGAGCTCCCCAGCATAATTTGCCTAGTGTAATTTGCCTAGTGTATTCTACAATAGGGAGCTCTGGTAGCATAGTGGCTAAGACACTTGCCTGCTAACCAGACGGCTGGCGGTTCAAACCCACCAGCCACTCCTCGGAAGGA